TTGCTTTTTAGTTGGGTACTAATGAGCACACAGGCTAGTGGTAAAACTAATCAACCTCAAGATTATTTCCTTCCAATATTCTAAATTTGATTGAATTTATCTAATCAATTAAAAAGTTTAATATATGAATTGATAATAAATAGAGAATTAATATTTTCACAATTATCAATATTTTATGATAGTGATGTGTATATAAATATTCAACTCCTATCAATAATTCAGGCTCCTTTGGAGCCAGCCATCATTAATAGATGACTACTGTAGCTTTTAATAAAGCTTCTGTAGATCTTAACTAGTATTTTTATCCATTCTCCTATACAGAGTTATTACAAATAGTTCAGATTTATTAGCTTCAATTTATGAACAGCAATTTTTAATTCATGCTACAAATATACAATTAGATTTAGGGCTGGTGTTTAGGTCATTCTATTAACCTAACCTTATTTGTAAACCATTCTGAGTGGTTTTCAAAGTATGTTTTCAAATTGCTATCTTGTTGGAACCTACCAAGTCAGAGGAATAGATTATTTTCAAAGAATGAATTAATATTTGAGTAAAAACACTTTTCTCCTCGATTTCATTGAGATCCCAGTACTTGCTGTACTAATGTAATCCTATAAAATGACCTGGTGACCACCATGCATTAGTGTTGACATGTTTTTCTTTTAACATCATGTACTGATTTTTTTTTTCTTTCTCAAAATGTAGCATTGCTGGTTATATCCTAAAATTTCAATTTTTATTTCATTTGGCTAAAAACTATTTCAGTAATCAGGCAACCAATTCAAAAACTTTAGTGAATATTAAAAAGTTTGTGCTTAATTCACTAGAGACTTTTTTCATGCAACCTGTGAAATCTTTGTCAGTTCTATGAATTGTTCAGACACGCAAATCTGTCTGGATAACTCTTGCACTATTTCAGGTTTGATTTTAGTCAGCTTTCCTAATCTTGCATTTAACATTTTAATCATTTATGAAAGATGGTCAAAAAGCATAAGATAAAGTGAATTTTTTTTTTCAGAAGCCAATTTCTACAGTTTTTGTCAGGATTTAAAAAAGTGAATGTTTAATTAGTAAGATAAATTTATAGAGGTTTTAAGTGATGTGAACAGACAATATAAGAATGGCTCAATTTTAGCTGTTATGGTGTAATTTATTACAATTTTTTTTATTTTTTCACTCGGTGCAAATATTTATGTAAATGTTATTGCAAAATTGCAGAAATAAAATATTAATTTTCTAACCATTTTGCAAATTAAACAGGATAAATGTAATGAAATCAAATTCAGGATGATTTATCACATAAGTAAGGAATGAATGAATGAATGAATACATACATACATACATACAAATAAATAAAAGGTATATTTAGGCAGCAAGTATTCAATCCAAGTTAATTAAAAAGAACCAACTAGGTCTGTGTTTATTTTTATTTTTTTAATATTCTTTAAATTTTTGGATAAGTTGTTGTGTATTGTACTTACTGTCCAAAGTTCATATTTTGTTATTTTTGTTCAAGTACTTTTGACTTTCACAGTCATTATCAAGAACCGATGTGGTGTCTGTGTAGTACTTATAATTCCTTTGTCTGCATCCTAATATTCTTTGGGGTGCTGGACGTTTGAAATGGTCTATCATGATGTCATGTGTAACGTCTATTGTGAATGAAGCCACAAGAAAAGAATGAGATTTATTTTTTTAATACTAATATAATGTGTATATATTAATTATATCACATACTTCCTCCTGTGGTGAATAATATTTTATTTAATGTGGGCTGTTTATTTTGTATAATAATAGCTTCTAGAGTTTTAAGTCTTTCCTTGTATTGGGTACTGTAGAGTATTTTGATATTATCCACTAGTATTTGTCTTATGATGATAATTACATTTTTGGTCATTCATGACATGCTAGTCGATGTGTGCACAAATTATACCGAGTTTTGACAAGTGATAGGTCAATCTGCAAGAGAGTGTGGTGCATGTGTGCCCAAAGTATGTTTTTTGATTATTACTGTTAGAGATGCAGTCTCTCAGGGGGTATGAGAATTCATAAAGAACATTATTTTTACAGGAGGTGGGGTGGTTATGAGGCCCAGTATTGTTGGTAATAATTAAATTAGATGTTTTAACTTTTTATAGTAGATTATTATTTTGCATTTGGTTACAATAGAATAAGTTAATGGTGTGTTTATTTTAGTTTGTGTCAGGGAAGGGTCTGGCACCATTTTTTTTCTAAATTTTGTTAAAGCTAATTTTATTTATTCATCAACATCATAGGAAAATTATTGTTGATTAGGGTTTGTTTAATGTTACTAAGTTTCTTATAGAATAATAATGACTGAAGAAGAGATTACTTAGGTTCAGTAAATCATGTTTTTTTAGAACAGATATTTTGTATCTGTGAGTACATTCACTTTTTTAGTTAAGTAAACAAGAGTTTCTGCTAGAGGGTTTTTATGGCTATTGTCAAGGAAAAGGATTTTATTGTTAATGTTGAGTTTGTAAAAGTGTAGGCCAGAGTTATTCTAAAAGATTTTTCAGTTTTCTTTTTAATTTCTTCTAAGCTATTTGCTAATATAAATATGTTGTTGATATAATGTGCATATATAGGGGGGGTAGTGGAATTATTGAAAACTGTTTTCGACATGAAACATGTAGAAATTACATAGAACTGCTCCACTGCTAAACCATCAGTTTGTGCATAATTGTTACCATAGTGGTTGTAAAATGGTATTTGTGTTGTGCAGGATAGAAGAAATTTTCATAGGATAGTTTTCTAATTTTAAGTACAAAAATAACAAAATATGAACTTCCGACAGTTTATCCACAACTATGAGAACAATACTCAACACCTTATCTGAAAATTGGAAAAAACTAATAAAAAAAATTAAACAGGGTCTTTGTCCATTCTTTTTAATCAAACTTGTTTTGAGATATGTATATACACACACACACATGAGAGAGAAGTGTTTTTATTTACATTTCTCTTATTTTGCTTTAATCTTGACTAAAGTGTAAAAAAAAAAAAAAAAAAAATTTTAAAAATTTTAAAAAAAATAAATCAGTAAATACAATGCCATTAGATTTTTCTTTATCAATATTTTTTAATCATATTGGCATCATCATCAAAAACTTATCCAATGTTTTGCATTGAAAAGAGAATATTCAAGAATTGTCCAAATTAACAGTAAAATTGGGATAAAGCCATGTCTAGTTTCCAAAACCTGTAGAGAAGGATTCCAGACACTCAAGGAGTTCTTTTTTAAGCAAATGTAGTCATGAGAAGATAAAAATTCACAGATACAAACACACGCAAAAAAAAAAAAAAAATCATATTTATAAACAGACTGCTAAACGAATTCCATTTAAAATTGAAAATTCAGATATAAAATATTTATTTACTTACAAATCTGAAGAAGTCATTTAGGTTAAACTTAAACCAATTAGATTCCCGTCTACCTTTCCAGCTTATAGTTGCCAATGTTTTCAACTGGAAATTTTCAACTTCACGTGTTCAACATTCATCTTGGCTACGATTCCCACTAATTTTACTTTATTTCCAATAGACTATACCCACTATTTCTATCATAAACTTTATTCTACAAAAATTGTGTAGAAGAGAGAGAAATGCAGGCAGAAGTTTTCTTGTTTGAATGTATTTTTAAAAAGCTACAAAAAGGAAGTCAGCCCACTTTTATTTCAGATTTGTGAAGGTTAAGATGTTTCCTTTTCTGACACATGAAAAGGTTGTTTCAACCTGTTTATTCAGACAAGCATATGAATCTTAAGGATGGCAATTGAGAGAGAGACAAAATGTACAGAATTTTGTGATGGATGGCAACAGGAGAAAGAAGATTCAGCACTTTAAAATATCTCATGTAAATAGACTGAATTAAGTGTAATATTCTATAATTACATGCAAGTATATTGCAGATTCTAAAAGCCAATTGTATTACATATGTGCAAAACTTCACATCATCGTCTTTATTGAGCAAACTACAGGCTGAATACACAGTTGAAAAGCAGTTCCAAGTGTTCTGTGATTAATATAAAAAAAATGGCAACAGAAAAGATTGCATTTCATGTTTATTTTCAGGTTGGGGAAAACAGCAACAGTAGTAAAGATGATGATTGATGAAGTCTATGGGAGATTTTTTGGTTGAAAACTTGTATCATGAATGATTTTCATTTGGAGAACAAAACTTGCAACCATAAAAATTTGGAAATGATGAATTTTGAGCATGCCTGAATGATGACCCGTCCACCCCCACTCAGTTAACACTGAAACTGGCTGAAAAACAGTTTTAAGATATTGGCAAAGTACAAGAAAAATGGTTTACATCTGAAATGACAGTGCAAAACATTGGGCAGTATTTCACAGTTCACTTCTTGCTAGACATGAAGAAAATTTTTATCTTTTTTTTTTTGTGAAAGATGGTCAGTGAAGATGAAAACTAGGTCCACCATGATAATTTGAAAGGTCAAAAATATTCATGAATGGATTGAAGAGAACCAACAACAAAAACTAATCTTTTTAGAAAGAAAAGTTGTCACTCTTATTTGGTGAGATATGAAAGGCATATTGTACTACAAAACTTGATGAAACTGTTACTGTGTTAAATTTAAAGTTTGAACATTGAAATGAGGAAAAGTGTCTTTTATAAGACAAGGAAGCTGTTTGGAAAGTCAAACTGTTACTTGACAACATTCATTCAAATATTGCTTTGTTATGACCAAAAATAACTAATGGAATTGGGATGGAAAATTCTTCCTCATGCAGCATGTTCAGCAGACTTGGTGCCATTAGATTATCATTTATTCCCATCAATGCAACATTCCTTATTTGTTAAATTTTACAACTTAATTTACAATTAAGGAGGTAAATTGTTTTAGGCTTAAAAGTTATATAAAAGTATTTGTAAACTGAACAAAAGTCAATACAAACATTTTCTTTAAAAGATTAAAAAAAAATTAGCAGAAAAATTTTGAAAGACTTACAAAATTGTCAATAAGGTCTGGATGAGTATGATCAATGCCATCATCCAGAATGCAAACTGTCACTCCAGAACCTGTAAAATTCTTCTTCCAAATAGGCTCAACATTCAAGTCCAAACCTGCTTGACCACCTGTTTGGCCAATGTTGTTCTGAAAATTAAAATGTAATATTTATCGAGAATTTTAAAATGTGAAAAAAACTAAGAAAGAAAGAAAGAAAAAGATCTTTCTATAGTTGATAAATTTGGATCAGTTAACTTAATATTAAACAATGATCAATAAAACCAATTCCTAAAGCTGAACTCAGATTCATCAGAGAAATAACACTTTACCATGGAGGTATGATTAGTAAGCCAGTCTTACAAACTGTAGTGAGTTCAATCATCCGAAGTCAAGACAAAAAGGAGTTTAAAAAAAGATTACAAAGTAATTATTAATTGTGAGTTAGAAAATATCCTTCAGATAGCAACTCTTTCTTTGGTAGATATCTAATTTCGTGTGTGCTGTAGGAGGGAACCTTTCTTGTCAAATGGGAATGAAATACTTTCATTAGGAAATGAATATTTGGAAAACATAAGAAAAATCAATCAAATATGACATCAAAATGAAAATGTTTGGGGAAAAGAGACTTAAGTTTGAACAGAATTATGCCACAATTATGTCCTACTCATATCTTGGTAGAAAGGATAAATGGATTTAATTCTAAAGTTAGCTTTTTTCTTGACTCTAGCAAGAAAAGAAATAAGCACTCAAAAAAATAAATAAGAAAAATGAGAAAAAGCAAAAAAGTTTTTTTTTTTTTTATCTTTGCTCCTTCATGGCTAGAATTTTATAGTAATAAATCCTGCCCCAGCTACACCTACACACTTTAAGACGCCATTCTATTCAAAGAATCAGGGAATAAAGAATAAATAGAATTTAGTCAGAAAATTATTTCATCAGATGGGAAAAAAAAAAAAATAATACAGGAGGTGCAGGGATGTCAGAGAGGGTGAATTGTTTCGCAGAATTTTTTTTTATTTGAGCTCTTCTCTCTTCCCACAAAGTTATGCTTAAGTTTTCTTAAGTGGATAGGGCTATCCTTTCCTATCTTGCTCTATCTGGCTGGATTTTTTTCAATAAAATAAAAACTATAAAAAATAAATAATGAAATAAATAATAAATACAAATAAATAGAAAGACCCCAAAATCTGGAATCTCTTTAAAAGGGATTCAAAATTTGTTTAGTATTTTTACTTATAAATCTTTTTAAAAAAAAAAAAAAAGTTGCTGAAAATTTGTGTATGTTCTCAGGCTCCTCAGAAAGCAACTATCAAATTACTTAAAGAAAAAAAAAAAACAGCTTGACAGTAACAATTGAGTTTAAAGTTTCTACAGCAAGTCTATATTTCTTTTTTTTAATGTAATCAGTTCTTTTTGGTAAAAAAAAAGAAAAAAAAAAAGATTGACTGAAATCACAGGTCATTGAAAGGCAAGTAATATAAAAAAAAAAAAAAAAATGAAAATTTTTACTCAAAGAAACCCATAAGACAATTACCAAAATAACTAAACCTTATTTTTAATGTTATGAAAAATTTATTTTGAATAGACAAATTCAGCCAACAATGCTTAAATTAAAAACACTTCTCTAATCATGTTGACTATCATAACTTAATTGATAACTAAATTCAACACTCTTTTTTACCGTCACATTCAATTTTTGCTTTTTTTTTACTAACTATTACTTAAGGCTTTTGATCAAATTGTCAAGCTCACAGAAAACGAACAGGTCATTTGTCTTATATACTGATGTGGAGGAGTAGAGAAAGGTTAGATTGAGCAAAATTGATTTCTGCTCCAAGCTACATGATTCAAATTGAACTTACAAGTTAACTTTACAGTTTGTGTGTAAGTCATGGCAAGTTTCCAAATAGAATAAGTCAATTATCAGAATTGAGCATTTGCTTTTCAACTTAATAGAATATTAAGTTGCAAAGATGACGTATTTGAGAGAAAACAAGTCTAGATAAAATTAAAAAATATGTGGCTGCCTTAATTATTCTCCACACAACATCAATGGTGTCCAGAAAGTGTATTTCCTGATAACAAGAAGGCTTTCCAACCCTTGTGAGCTTATTAAGACTAACTCTTTTATTAATTTAACATTTTTCACCAGAGCTAAAACAGAAAATTATTATAGTTATTGAACCAATTAAATAACAGTTTTTACTTGCACACTTATGGTCGCATTGTGTTAAAAAAAAAAAAAAAAAAAAGTAGGTTCAAGCGTTCTTTATTTTTTCCAGAATTATCATGTTCCAATGCTTTTTAAAAACATTTTATTTATATTCTAAATTTTTGACACCATTAAATTATTTTCTAACCCCACTTATTAACCCAACCCCTATTTAATGCATATCAATTATTAAGAGCCCCAGCCCCATGTATAAGGCACCTAGTGCTGTATAATATTATAGACATGATGAATGGGAAGGAAGATTTCCCATTGACTGGGGTGCTAATCAGGCATTCCAAATTTGTGACATAAGTTATTCTTGATTAAATTAATGCAATGAAGGTTAAGTGTAGTTTGTTGCAGGGATGCATATTGTCACATGATCTGCAATGATGGGGCCAATTGGGTTAAATTATGTGATCTTGCTTGAAAGACCAGAAATTATAAATGAACCCAGTATAAATATCACTAATGATGCACCCAATACTGCATCTTTGCAATATATATTGAAAGATACTCTTTATATTTCTCATAAATCAAGGTCTTGCAATCGGAAAAACTCTATATAAAGAAAAAAAAAAAAAAGATCAAACTAACAGAACAATACTTATTACTAAATATGGAGAAAGCAATAAGTGCTGAGTAGTAAAATTCCCAGCCTTCAGGTTTTCAGTATAACGTCAGACAAGTTACAGGCATTCTTGTCAGAGCCACAAGTCAAATTAAAGGCCTGTCAAAAAGTTAAGAAAAAAAAAAAAAAAAACAAGCAAAATAGTCATAGGATTTTGTTGAAATGTTGATAACATTTATCACTAGTGAAATATCAGCAAAATGCCAGTTAAAGTTGCCGTTGCATTTAAGAGGAAAAGCAGCCTACACAATAACGAGTGATGGTGGGTAGACAAGTACCTAAGGGAAGGGCTTTTCATAAGGGAAAAGCCAATGACATTCTTTAATGGAAAAATATTTCCTATTTGGTATCTTAAAGACATTCAGTATTTTTTTATAACTAGAAAAAAAAATTTGAATAACTAATCCCAGATCATGAAAAATACAGGTTTGTTACTTTTGTTTTTTAAGTTACACAGAAATTTCATTTAAAAAAAAAATATGAAAATTAAACAAAGCAATTTTGTTTAAAATAAATTAAATTGTAAAATACTTGCTTATCCAGATTCTTTCATTCATGAAAACTAAAAATGATGAAATCTCCAGATAAGAGCAAATGACTCATTCAAATCTTTTATGTTACATTGAATAAATAGGTCAGAAACATAAAACCTGAATGATTTTAAAAAGTTGGGGAATTTATTCAAATTTTAATTCTTTTTATAATAAATACAAAAAAGCATGACTTTCTCTGTAGAGAAATCTCTCAAAATCTAAATTTTCAGGAAACAAGTGAATAACCAAACTGAAAATGACCAAAACTGAACTTTCCCCCACTTAAAACTTTTATTCAGATAAGTATTTCCAATCAGAGTTAAGAACAGTTATGAACAGTTTCTATTGCATTTCAAACTGTAAGTTACTAGTGTTACATAAAAAAATTAAACTGTACACTCATCCAAGAGTAAGCATTTACTTACATTAAAAATGAGTGGAATAAGAATGTTACTATTTCTTCCAGTTCCTATCTTGAAAATGCCACAGAAAATTGACAAATATCTTCAACAAATTCCAAGATTGTTTCCTACTAAACACAAAATCTTAGTCATAATTTGGAACCTTTAATCCACCACCTAGAGAAGAGCTGACCTTTTTGTTTTGTACAGACATAGAAATAATTTCTAGAAAAGATAAAGGAACAAAAGTTCAATGTAAAAATCTTGCACTTTTATCAGAGATGGATTTTTAAAAAAAAGAGAAAAAAAAATGGGCTCTTAAAGAGGTAATATTTCAAGATGCTAAATATTTGTGCTGATGCAATAGGGAAATTTCTTGTAGTCAATAAATAGGCAGAAAAGTATTTTAGAAAGCAGTTGGGAATTAGTATTCACTGATGAAAAGAGAATATTCTTCAGAAAGTTGTATTAAGTAAGTGATAATGGATTTCTAGAGTCTGAATGTTGCTTCTATAACATTTTGTAGAACCTAGACTATCTTTTAAAAGAGGTGAATCAGGCTTGTAAAACAAATCTGATTCATGAAAATTTTCCAGTCAACATTTCAAGTTAAATTATTTTATCTTTTATATTGTTAGTCTTTACTGCATGACGCTACTTAAAGTTTCATGTACAAGTTTATGCCTGATGATTATCTCATTGCATGAAAGAGTAGCGTCATGCAGGAAGACATAAGGATGCAATAACAAGAACTGTGAGTGTTCATAAAATGTCAAATTCTCATTCAATGTAATTGATGACATTAGAATTGTATAATTACAATGCTGGGTTGAAATGACTTTACAAAGTTTTCTAATGAAACTTTATCAGTTCAGTTTCAATACATGTATTTGTTTGTAAACTAATGATATGGGTATTTTAAATTTTTACAAAGATGACTAAAATTTTTCTTAAATTCAGTTTTTCACAAAAAAAAAAAAAAAAAAAATCACTAAACCGCAATTACAGTAGGAGAGGCAGTGCTACCAATTCTAAGTCAATCACCAGGTATCTCTTGACAAAATGTACTGACAATGATCATTGGATTTAATGAAATCATTGAACATCAATTACTTTGCTTTCTAAGGGTCTCCCTCTCAAATTTTTTTGATCTTCACAAAGACTTCCTCCATTAGAGAAAACATGCTTCTATTAAAGATAAATTTGCATATATAATATATTTTTCATTACTTACATGTCATTCTTACACCCCTTCTACTGCCTATTAATGATTCTATAAGGAATGGAGAAATTGGCATTTAGTGATTTTATTTAGGTTCCTAGTAGATGGCTGGAACAGATTTATTTTAAAAAAAAATTCTCCAATGACCCAAAGTTTATTAATTTTTTACTTTTTGACACTTTAAATGATTTTCTAACCCAACCTTTCATTAATGGCCCCATTTATTGCATATTGTGAAAAATACTGCCCTCAGGTATTAAGACCTCCCTTGTATTGGGCACCTATGGTCAAATTTTCAAATTGGTTAAAATATACACACTGCAATCAGTATTT